TTCTTTAGATGATAACCACAAATATGGTGAAATTCCAATGTGCATCGAAAACTTATCAAAATTGCAAATATTTGTGGCTAATGATAACAATCTTTCTGGGGTCGTACCCCAAAACATAACCAAGCTCCAAAAGCTCTACGCCTTGTATTTGAATAATAACCATTTATCCGGGGTCATTCCATCTTCAATCGGAAACTTAACTAGGTTGTCACTCTTTTCCCTAGCTAATAATCGAATTCAAGGCCAAATACCTTCGACTCTAGGAAAATGTACATCACTAACATCATTATTTCTTGCTAATTAACAACCTTATTGGAAAAATACCCTTAGAACTATTTAACCTTCCCTCCTTGTCAATCCAAGTCGATTTATCCAAAAACAAACTAGTTGGTTCTCTCCCTGATCAAGTTAGACAACTAACTAATCTTAAGGCCCTTCTACTGTCGAGCAACATGCTATCTGGTGAGATACCAAACTCTATCAGTAGTTGTGTCGCGCTAGAGTACCTGTACCTAGCAAAAAACAAGTTCCATGGAGCTATTCCTGATGCATTGCGCTCATTAAAGGGTCTCGTTGAGCTCGATTTGTCATACAACAATTTGTCAGGTCCGATCCCACAGTTTCTAGAGAGTCTACAGTTGCAATTGCTGAATATATCACACAATAACCTTGAGGGTAAAGTACCCATTGGCGGAGTATTTAGCAATGTAACTAATGTTTTAGTTGATAACAATAGTAGGACCTGCGGAGGCATACCTGAACTGAAGTTACCCCGCTGTACTGTAAGCCAAAACAGTCAGAAAATAAGTTCAGTGCAGAGGAAAAAATTGATAGTCGCGATTCTTTCTGCATTTTTTGGAGTCATTGTGCTGCTAGCTGTACTTGTGTTATTGTACATATTCTGCATGAAAAAGAGGATTCAGGAGCCTACACCTTTCAGTAGTATGGAAAACTTTCCAAATTTATCATACCAAACTCTGTTTCAAGCTACAAATGGGTTTTCCGTGGAAAATTTGATTGGCAGTGGTACATTCGGGGTTGTGTACAAGGGAATCCTAGAGACTGATTGATCAACTGTTGCCATCAAGATATTTAACCTCGAGTATCGCGGTGCTTCAAAGAGTTTCATTGCTGAATGTGAGGTCCTTCGAAGCATTAGACGTCGAAATCTTCTTAAGGTGATAACAGCTTGCTCAAGTGTTGATCATCAAGGTAAAGAATTTAAGGCATTAGTCTATGAGTACATGGTGAATGGAAGTTTGGAAAATTGGTTGCATCTATCACAAGCAATAGATAAGGTTGAAAGCACATGTAAAACATCAAGAACCTTGAATTTTCGCCAAAGACTTGATATTGCAGTTGATGTTGCATTATCCTTAGATTACCTTCATCATCAATGTGGTGCCCCCATAGTTCATTGTGACTTGAAGCCGAGCAACATCCTCCTCGATGATGACTTGGTTGCTAATGTCGGTGACTTTGGGCTTGCCAAGATCCTCCTTGAAGGCATCAATAGCAGTCATGCAAACCAGTACAGCTCTGTTGGAGTTAGAGGAACTATTGGTTACACACCTCCAGGTAACAACTCAACTTTTGGTGTTCTTATTATTTGCTCATAAATTCTATGTTTCCATTGTACTAATATTTGAGGCATGATTTGAAAGCAGAATATGGTGTGGGAAATGAGGTGTCTACCATTGGTGATGTCTATAGCTTTGGGATCCTTTTTCTCGAAATGTTTACAGGAATGAGGCCTACTAATGACATGTTCAAAGTTGGCTTGAGCCTGCAAAGCTTTGTGAAAAATGCTATACCCGAAGAGATCGACACGATTGTAGATCATACTCTAATAGAAGACATAGACAGAGAAAGACACCAACAAGAGTGTGATGTTGGAGGCCTTAACTTCTGTGCTTGTTGTAGCACTTTCTTGCTCAGCTGAAGTGCCACAAAAAAGGTTGGACATGAGTGATGTAGTTGCAAATCTATCACTAATCAGAAATAAGCTTCTTGATTAAGAAAAAGTAATGTTTCAATTTAAATGTAAATTATCCCCACTAATACAATCATAAAGTTAATCCATGTTTTCATCTTGGTTGTAATCTTGTATGTTTTCCGATACATATAAATAATGTATTTATAAAGGAAAGACTTTTCCTCTCAAACTTATGTTAATAATCACTCAGTTCAGTCACTTAGTCATTATCAATGATACAATCATCCACACATTTGGTTATATGAGCCAAAAACGAGTTGGAAATGTCAACTACCAACTAAATACAATTAAATCAAAGATAAATAATATTAGGGGATGGTTAAACACCAATTGATCATGGAACAAGCATAACAGAAACACAACTTAACCTTTTACCTGCAAACTGCAAGATAGTTGATTGGCGCTTCTGAAGGGTATGTCCATCCTCGGCTTATCCACTTTCCTTGTAAAATTGCAACAATCTGGTACATCGCGTGAGTATAAATAGCATCCGCATATGCAGCTGTATCAGAGTACCTGGAGGCAACTCCTGAATCCTGTCATCCAATTCCTGAACTGTACTTTCACACTGATCCCAGAACTCGTTTGGTGATGTTTTAGCACAACTCTGAGCCAAGATCAATAAGTCCTCAATAATTTCTTGCCAACCAGGATGATTTTCAGTATTCTTTTCTAAAAGACCAACTAAATCTGCTGCAAAAACAGCTAAATCGGAGTCTACTTCTTCCTTGTCTTTCTCACACCTTTCTCGTATCAGGACTAAAACCTCCTACATAATATAACGATTTCAAAAGGTAAAATAAGTACTTAAAGGAAGCATAACATACAACATCCAGAGAAGGGTGAGACTACAGAACATTATACTTCACTCATTATTATTTACACCACGAGATTTCCCAAATGGAAAAGGTATACGTACTCCTTTAGAGTTCAACTCATGGGAAAAACTTTTTACCTCTGCAGGATTTCTTTTCCTTGGTGCACTTGTAACACGAAGAATGTCTTGAAAACAAGGATATTCAGACTCCTTTAGAGTTTCACAATCAGAAGTTATCTGGGGAATAAAATGTTGTAATTCATTCTAAACATAAACGAAAAAGAAGCAACATAGCACTGCTAAATAAGTCCATTCCCAAAATTGCAATATTATCGTTGTGGGGGAAGTGGGGAACTAACAGCCTGTCTTTCAGGAGTACAAATATCTGGACTTGGTATGCCTCCTGATTGCTCCCATGATGAATTTAAGTTCCCTGCATCATTATACTTCGTATCTATTACGAAACAGTTATAAAAAGGTAACAAATATAGAAAATTTTGATTATTAAGGTTAAAAAAGAGTTTTTAGTTCTGTTTAATACAATGTAAGATGGTTCCATAATACACAATTTGTGGTGCACTTGGAAAGACTGATAAAAACAATACACTGACAATAGAGCTTGTCTGCAGCAAAGCATCAAATTTCACTCTTTGAAGGTTTTTTTATAAGTGGATTTAAGTGTTAAATAAAGATCATTGATTAAAATTGAGGTTTTGGTTTACAGTAGTGGTAATATACTAGTAGTTGTGTTGCCAAAAAAAATGATGTGGATGTCAGTAAGCTGATTATAGCTGAACTAGCATGATTTTGGTACTTTTCTGTATGAAAACTGTTATGATTATTGAACTTTAAATTTAGTTTTTCAATTTGGGGTACTTTAATGAAATTTTGATGGCATAAAACTATCTGCATTTTCATCTTGCTAATTTTACACCCAATTACATGTAAATCACTCTAAAATTTTGTATTCACTCTTCAATTTTAAATTAGGATTCTTAATTTGGGATTATATATTGTAATCGTTAAATGTGAACCTCAATAACGAAACCTTTGACAGAATCCATCATCCGGTATGGTAACAAAACAAAAACAAAGTAAGAGGTACACCGTATTTGTTTGCAAAATTAAAGTAACAAAGAACATTAGTAACAAAGTAAGAGGTACACCGTAGTTGTTTGTATCATATTTGATATTTCCCACCTTTTAACCCTTTTTCTTAAATCTCATGCTCATGCTAAATGATGCAATTAAAAAAAACAAAGGAAGTACAAATTAAAAATTTGGAAAATTTGCTATTTGCAGCCATTAAAAGTTTGTATTTTGCAAATTACAGTCATTTAAAAAATTAATTGCAAATTACAGCTCAAAAGTACTAAAAATTGTAAATTGCAACCCAATTAAATTATTTTTATCGATTTACGTGTTGAAAAAATGTTCCGTTAAGGTTTTAGGGGTCATTTTAGCCTTTAAGGTTTAAAAATGAGCTCGGAATTTGGCAAAAAATTAATGTAAGAGCCTCATTTTCATGGCAAAAAAATAGTTGCACACAAAATGATCCATTTTTTATACGCAAAAAGTGGTACTTATGTTATTTTTTTGCAAATTCCGAGTTCAATTTGGGCCCTTAAGGGCTACGATATTCCCTATGACCTTAACGGAACATTTTTTGACATGCAAATCTATGAAAAAACTGAATTGGGTTGCAATTTACAATTTATTATTACTTTTGGGCTGCAATTTGCAAAAAATTTTTTAAATGGCTGTAATTTACAAAATATAAACTTTAAATTGCCGCAATTGGCAAATTTTCCTAAAAATTTTAAAAAGTCAAACTAGAGTGAATACCAAAAAGGCAAGAAAACGAAGTCTTTTCTCAATTGATCAAATGATCATTGATCATATACTCTTACATAATTATAAGCAAATGAGAAACCCTTACCTGCATTCAGCAAACTCGGGCTCAGGTCAGTACAATCATTCTCGGAAGACATGCTATTACGAAAGTTGTTGATTAAACCTTCTTCAGATGATCTACTCTTCAAATTGAAGTGATGCCTGATGATTTTTTCGAAGAGAAAAATTTGCCTTTAAAACACCAAATTTTTTATTCTTTTGTGAAATTCAAAAGAGGATTAATCGTAGAATAAATTTAGTTTCATAAACATATAGCCTTGTTAAGTTTACAAATGGATGCTGGTGTAAGGGTCTTCAGAGGTTCAAAGACCAGGTATAGTAATACTACGTAGTATAGATGGCAGATAGTAATTACGAGAGAAAGAGAGATAAATGGTCATGCACTCAGCAGTCAGCACGTCTACAGGCATTACAACATATCTGTTGCGATTTGATTTTTTTTTTTTTTTTTTTTTTTTTTTTTTTTAAGTAAGGAGAATGCATCTTATTATATCAAAAGTTCACTTTGGTCCATCCCATCAGACTTCGCAAATAAGGCTCCTTAAAAGAGGGAAGGATAATGAAATCCTCACCAATGAGAGAATTCATCCCACAATCTAATGGTTGTAAATTTGAATAGAAATGTTTGGTAAATACTACGGAGTAGTTGTTAATTACTAGTTGTTCAGACAAAATGACCAATTAGGACATTGAAATAATTTATTGTTAGTCAAATACTTTTGTTGATAATAATAGAGTTATTGTTAGCCAAATACTGCAGGAACAAATTTATCTTTGAGCGGGCTTCTTTTAATGCGGTAGAGGTTGCAAGAGGGTGGGTAACCTGGTGCGAGAAAGCAATGAGTACGCAGGGAAAGTGTTGGCTAGAGCTGCTCCTGTTGGGTGTCCTTCTGCTAGGTCTTGGGGCCGTCCAAGGCAGTGGTGTGTGAAGGTCAATTGTGATGCTCATTTGGGTGTAAAAACTGGCTAGGCATTGTGATCAGGGATGAGCATGGTGCTGTGATTGTTGCAGCTGTGCGCCAGGAACCTGCTGGTTGGGGGGTGGAAATAGCAGAGGCAGCGGCTTGTAGATTTGGCTTGTTGGTAGCAAGAAGGCTGGGCTACGACAGAGTGCAACTTGAGAGTGATGCCATCAACGTGGTGAAGGCTTTCAAGAACAGATCAGTGGGCTTCTCCCCTATTTATTTGCTTTATGATGACATTATTAGCTTATCTTCCTGTTTTAGTTCCTTTTCTTTATCTCATGTCAAGCGAGCAGGTAATACTCTAGCACATAATGTAGCAAGATGGGATGCTAGGGGTTGTGATGAATTTGTTTCTCTCGGTCCTTTCCAGCCTAACAACTTTGGCCGAAATTGACCTATTTTAATGATATTCGCTGCTTGGTTTCCAAAAAAAAAAAAATAATAGAGTTATATGGTGATTTTATTGGATACTATATAAAATTATCAACAAATAATAAAATAAAAATAAAAATTCTATGTGTAATTATTTGTTTGATTTACAAATGAACCATCATTTACTCTCATCCGATCCTCTATGTCAGTGCAGATCAAGGTCAAAAACTCACAAGTGTAATTGAGTTCAATATTCTTGCTCCATAGTTATACTGCATCCGGGAAACGTAAGTCGACAGGGCCAGGACCTAAAATCCCCTTCTGATCACTGATCTTGCCAAGACCAGGAGGCGGCTCTGTTGTACCATTAAGATCATCGTCTCTCCAAGCAGTCCCTTGCCATTCTCTCTGTAACATGAAACCACCAGGTGACCATGAATGATGCCACAAAATAGCCGATCATGCTAAATCTATCAACCATGAAAAATTATCATTTATATGGAAACACAACTTACACAACCATTCAGGACTACACCCATTTATCCACCAAATGGCATCCTACAATTCCTTAATAACTTTTCTCCTAATGAGTTCACAATCAAAAGTCTAACTTTAACAATCTCCTGAACCTAAAAGTCACTCCTATGAAATAGTATTGTACTTGCCTCATCATAAATATGAGGTCCATCCGGCAACACGGGGGTTGTAATAGGAGGAGCCATGTCTGGATCGGGCTTTCTAAAAATAAATGTTGTATATAAACCTGAATGGAAAACGTTAAAGCTCGAATAAATATAATAGTTATCCAGGCATAATGTCAACAGAAGACAAGTATGAAAGAGGAAAGATAAAATTCATCACCTAACACATCATAAGAGCGAGGAACAAGTCTTCCACGAGGATCCACCAGATTCGGGCCAAATTTTAAAATTAAACTTCCAAACTGAGCTCTGTCACAAACAGGAAGATGCAACACAAGGCAAAATGAAAAAAAACTAGAGGAGTCGTGAAAAAATTATAAAACAAGCCAGATAGTCAGATTTTTTCACATCGTGAAGCTGAAACAAGATAAATGAAGATGACATGGCAGCAATTACAAACCACCTAAAAGGCCATTGGCTGTTACCAAAAACATATGAAAAGCACAAGGGACAGCTAATGAGTCATGAATACTATATGAAATCTGAATTAAGTCTCTATTTGTCGATGTATACTTCCTCAACCAATGTCTTTGAAAATAGATATTAAATTATTTCACTTGTTTTCCTATTGCTCTTATATGTGGCTCCATTATTTCAAGACACAACAACAAGCACTTGTTTTTCAACAGCAACAACAACTCTGACAAAGAAAAAAGGACATAATAAGATAACCAGTTGAAAAAGTTTAAAAAAAGGAGTGTAAAGTGAGAAAAAGAAAGAGATTCTTTCAAAAGACAAAAATAAAATAAATAAAAAGGGGTAAAATAGTTTTGCAAGTATAACACAGTATCTTACAAAAAAATAAAATTATGAGATTCCAAGGAGGGACAAGAGGGGAGGGGCAGGGGTGCAAACTAGCTGTAATTGTACCTGTTATCATCATAAAACTCGGTTAAATTCTGAATCTCTACATACTCAAGACCAGCTTCTCTAGCCAACCTGAGGTCAAAACAACCAAATTAGTTAGGGTCTTAGGGATCTAAATCAAGCTGTCATCCTCCACGTTGTAAGACTGCGGTTAGGTTTCAATTGGCACAATAAAAAGAAAGAGATCGGTGGACATTGCTGGACTATAGTGTCCACCACCCGCCCCCACTCCATCCCCCCCCCCCAAAAAAAAAAAAAAAAAAAAAAAACAGAATATCAAAAATAAATAATAAAGGGCCGGTCAATATGAAGTAAATATTGATAATTAGCTTAGTTGCCAAAAATCTACCTGATAAAGCTTGGGAAATGAACTAGGCAATGTGTTTCTGCAGAGTTATCACTAGCAAACTTCAGCTGGTATTTCTTTCCAAACAAGGGGAACCTATATAATTAGAATGATGAATAAGTCAATGACAGAAGACATATTTTCTTCATTTTCTACAAACCAAAAAAGAACAAGGGCAACTTTCTTTTCGTTTGTATTAATAAGCAAAACTAAACAAGCAAACAAAATCATCATTATTTAGGCATACTTTTCTTCCTCCACTTCAAAAGTAATCATGTAGCTCTCTGATCGAATGCAATTTGGTACAATGTTCGGCTTCATTCCACCACTTTTGTTGTGGTATGCTTCAACATTTTTTTGATACTTTGCCCTGTAGTGAAATCAGCAAAGTACAAGAAATGCTAAGGATATATAACCAACAGTTGGAAGAGGCTCATATAGGCAAGAAATATTGTAATCACACCTTATGTTTGTGCAAACAATCATTTATAGAAGAAAAACAGGATACCTATTTGATTTAAACAAAAAGGTTTCAATTCTAATTTTACAAAAGAGCATCATTGTAATCACAAGGAAAAAGAGGGTGACACAATAGCAGTAAAAATACAAAAGGAATTTCTAGAGAAAAAGAAAAGAGGACCTCTGCAAGCATAACTTCATACCATATCATGGAGGAGTCAGGAGTGATTCCTAAAAAGTAACCCCCTGGTTTCAGCAAAGATGAAACATTACGCAGAAGAATCCTTGCTCTCTCTTCAGATGTGAAGCATATCTGCAAAACATGTAAGATGTAGCTAAAATCAAACAAAAAATGCTAAATTGTGCTTAACCAATCTCAAAAACCAAATTTCAGGTTATAAACCTGTAAATGCTGCATGCAGCAAACAATATCAACTGCATTGCACATGTCCAGCAAATGTGGTTCCAGAATTTCCTATCAAGGTGATCAAAGATCAGAAAATTTCATATAAAGATATTATAACTAAAGCAAGAAACTTTAACTTCTACTACTACCATTCTACCAATTACAGCACACAGCAAAGGAAAAAAAAAACATTCAGAATATTAATAATGATAATCAATCTGTATGATCAGGTACATTTCAGACTATGGGCTTCTTTCTTGATAATGTAACAAAGTTTCGATTAAATAATTTCATATTAAATCTTTAAAAAGAAGACTGAATTGTAGTCAGCACTACTCAGCAAGAAATTACATGGCGAGAAAATATCAGCACAAAGATATGATTCATCTGGACATTTTTAGCAAATATATACGCGGTTACCAGAAATATTAAGAAGAAAACCCACATGACACATATACAAGAAGGATTTTATTCCTTTATAATCCCATTCTTAGAGAAGTCAAACTTCAGTTATGAAGAAAACCCCAATCAGTGAATATTATCACAATTTTACTTTATAAAAATAAAATGAGCTTACTTCTTCCCCAGAATAAATCACGCGCTAATCACTCATAGAGATTAAAAACAAATGTTCCACTACATCAGAAAAACAACTTATCTAAATTTTTAAGCCCTTTAATTCCCCATCCTGATTTTATTCTTCATAAGTGAACATGGTTGATCAAGGGAATGCATTCCAAGACTAAAAAAAAGTACACCTCTAAAGTAGCCTTGTATATATCAAGTCTATTGTATGAGTGTAGAACATTTTATGCAATGTGCATGGTACACTTTCAAGAATTAATGGGCTCACCTAATTGCCTATAGATAGACTCAGGATTAATTTGTACAACCCATCCAAGTCTTGTAAGCATTCTTGTCAAGTAATAAAAACTCTTTGTTCTACAACACTTCCAGAGTTCCAGCACACAAATCAATCCCTTAGAACATCTTGTCTAGATAAGCATCGAAAATCTTTGAATTGAAACGAAAAGCAAGTAAGCAGCATGTTTGACTAGCAACAAGGTAACCAGTTGAAATGCAACATGGGAAGTTAATTTGTCAAAAGTACACCTAATAAAACATGATCTTCAATTAATATCCAAGTTCAACAAAGATTATTTACAACAGAAATTTACTTCCAATCAATTAAGAGATCATTGTGGAGAATAACATAAAAATAAATAAACATATCAAGTCTCGTAACATCAGCATATCCTTAGTATATAATACAAATTGTAACAAGGCTAAAGAGAAGAGAGAATTACTGTGCAAGGATCAAGCTCAAAGAACTGTGAAGTATATGCTTTACGCTGACTCTCCCACGCCACTTGAACTTGGCTTACTCCAGAAGTTTCCACATCTTCAAAATTCAAAATTATTGATTCAAATTAATGCAACCATTAGTAGTAAAGAGAAAAAAAAAATTGGCAATGCGAAAGAAATTAGATACCAATCCCAATGTAATGACCAATTAGAGCATCATCAAATTTCTCCACATCTGGTACTTGGCCACAAAACAACTCGCACACCGTAGCATAAGGGAATAGAAAGATCTTGAATAGAGCAGTTTTAGCAAAGTCAAAGAGACGCTGGTGGGTGTGAGAGGTTTCCACTGTTGTAATCTTAGGTGGAACTGCTGCAAATCCCGCCATTACGTTGTCCAATGTCACACACTTTAATTAGGCGCCCGTTTCAGGGCTCTCTCACTACCCGTAAAATCGAAAGTACTCGATACACGAATAATCGTTTTATGCAACCGATGTACCCTACAAGATAAAACCAAAGCAATTACTCGATAACTCGAACATACTAAATACAAGAATAATCATTACTATACAACCATTGTACCCTGCAAGAAACTCCCACAAATGAATGAACATATAATATACAAGTATGATTTTAACAGAAAAACAAATAGCAAAACCATTTCACCTTGATAAAATATACTAGTACAAGATACACATAAATTTATGAACATGTAAATCATAATGCAATGTGATAATCATTACATTTCATTTGATGATTTTGACATAACACAGCTTACAATCTTTGCAAAAAGTATTTAAAGAATGAACTAAATAAGTGGTATTAATAATATCTACTACAAACAATCCCTAAATTAAGCCTAAACAATCAACCATTCTTGAGATACACATCATTCAACTAAAGCATTTCAGTTTCAAAAGAACTAAAATAAAACCTAATAATGAATGTTAAAGACAGATTAGCAAGAATAATTTCAAATAATTAATTCAGTTGGTGTAATTCAAATGCTGAAAATCAGTAAAATTGAATCAAAAACCCTAAGAAAGATGGAACAGAGAGAGAGTAAGAGGAAGTGAAGCGTTTACCAGGTGGTTGGGTGGTTATCGCCGGTTGTTTTCCGGCGCGACGGAGAAGTATTAAGAGTGGAGAGGGTGCGAGAATTTGAGAGGAAGAGTGAGTTAAGACAGAATTTTTTTTTTTTTTTTTTTTTTTTTTTTTGAACGTGACTTAAGACAGAACTCTTCGGTCATTTTTCCGAGTCACACTTTTTTTTTTTTTTTTTTTTTAATTCTACAATATAACCCGCTACTTTTTGAAATTTTATGTTGTGCCCTTACATTTTCAAACTTCTATACTATAACCCCAAGGTACAATTAGTAACCACGATGTAACCTTGTCGCCAAGTCTTCGTTAACAGGGTTCCGTTTATTATTATTGAACTATTGTTTGGAGTGAGTTGTTAAGTTTGGGGGGGAAGTTTCCCTCCAAATCAATAGTTCTCCCCTCCCCCTTTAAATTTCCCCTCCCCCTTTTCCCCAATTTATAATTTTTAGGTTGTCAATTTGTTTTCTCTCTCATCTTCATCCTCTCATTGCCCCTTTCCCAATCATGTCATCTTCAACCTCTCGATGCTCCTTTCCCTCAAATTCGTCTTGTTCGTTGGAGTTTGTCAGCCCTCGATGTTGGCGCAGACCATAGAAGCTTGCGAAGTTGAAGATCTCAAGCACAAATCGCAACCCAGGAAAGCATTTTTCAAGTGCAATGAGTGTGGATTCTTCAAGTGGCTGGACGAAAGTGATATTTTGGGGCTTGCTATGATGAAGAGCAATAATGAGATAGATTCAGTGCTTTTGCAGTTGGCAAAGTTTATGTCTTATTTTAGGGAAATAGTGAAAGTTGGAATTTTTATGTATGTTTTGCTAGTTGTGATTCTGTTGTTAAAAAATGGGGCAACTTAATTGTAATTGCCATGTTAAATTGTGTCTTATTGTAACCTAAGTTAATTATATGAAACAAAATAAAGTCTTATTTGGTAACTCTGTTTTTTTAAAAGCATTTGTTTCAAATTAAAAAAAACCAAAACAATATAACAGCAAAGGAGGCTAGATTAGCATATCTAAACATCAAGCATTGTTTACAAAAAAATTCCCCCTCAACTAAGTAACTAGTATAGTTTGGTAGTAAAAAAAGCACCCCCATTTACATTTAATCCCTAACCATTTTAATCATGTTTATGCCAAAATAATTACAAAAGGGCTGCAACACCAAATACATCAATTTATAGCATGGATAACCTATGCAAAATTTTCTGCCTCTTTGGACTAATGCTCTGGTCAAAGTCCCTGCTTGGTGGTGGTTGAGTAGAAGCACCAGCTTTTGCAGTTGATGCTCTACTGCTCTGTCTTGTTGGCTGGCTGGAACTTGCTCTTGGAGCTGGCATCCTCCCACTTTCTCTAGGTAGCGGCTTGCTTGAACTTGGAGTATACAATGGCTACCGTGATCTCTCCCTTGTTAAATTTTGGCCTGTTGTACAGTTGTTGATCATAAGGTCAATTAGGTTGGTGTTAGTTTGCTGGGCCGAAGGTTGTTATCTTGTTGACCCTTTCCCTTTGGCATTCTTGGTGGGTTCCTTCCCTTGTTGATGCATCGACTCTTTCTTAGTTGCCCCTCTCTTGCATGTAAGAGTATTGTGGTCATACTAGTTGCACTTGCTGCATTTGACAGTGGCACTTCTCTTCCCTTTCCTTTGTTCTCCCTCTTCTCTTCTTCTATTCCTAGAGGGTCTGCCTACACTCCTCTTGATTGGTGATGGCAACAATTTTGGGTTATCCATCTTTAGCCATTGCTCTTGATCTGGCAGTGGTAAAATGTTGCCACTGTAAGTGGCCTTGTACCTAGCCACTGAGTACCATTCACTGAAATAGTCAGTTGGTTCCTTTCCAGCATCCAGCAGAGCCCTCATTCCATGCTTATATGAAATACCACTTATTTTCCATCTTCCACAAACACAACTCCTTGAGTTCAGTGAGACAAGCAACATGATTTTCCCATCTGAGATCTCATACTCTCCCCTTCCAGCTAGGTATGCATGGCAAGATCTAGATTCTTTAATTAGAACTCTAACCCTTTCCCTGATGTTAGGATAAACACCTTCAACCCATTCCTCACTTTTTGGTTGGCTTGTAGCATGCCTCACCATAGCTATCCTCCTCACACCTGCACACATAGATACACACAGTTACCACTTGGTGAAAAAGGAGACATTACTAGTTGGAGAGTTTGATTGTTCACCTTCTAAAAGTGTTAGAATGGGGTAGGATCTGTCCACACCAATTGTACTGTTGAAGCTTTCAACAAAATTGTTGGTGTTTTCATTATAGCACATCTGGGGATCAAATCTCCACCTTATCCATCCTTGTAGAGGCCCAATGTCTAACTGCACCTAAACCAACAAGTCCTTAAAGCTTGATCAGTGCCTTCCTAAAGTTGAACTCAAAATAGGCATTTATCACTAACCGAAACACCTTATGCGTCAACATCCCAAGGTACTCTAACTTAAAATTCTTGCACAAATGCCTTGCACAGTACCTCCTAGACACCTTGGGCCAAAGTTGATCCAATGAGGGTCAATACCCTTATAGTGACAACATAATAACATAGATTTAGTATTACATGCTTATATAAACATAACAACAATAACAATAAAATATAAACAAGATGTGCACCTTTTGTCTATCTGACATTATGGTCCAGTCATCTCTACCAGTTTTAATGAGGATAGCCTTCAAGTGGTGGAAAAACCAGCACCAGCTTGACTCGTTTTCTGAGTCCACCACTACAACAGCAACAGGGAAGATCTCATTGTTGCCATCCAATTAGACAACTGACAACAAGACTCCACCATAATTCCCATTCAGGTGGCACCCATCAACACCAACCAAACCTCTACACCCTTAAATAAGTCCTCTAAACTATGCTGCAAAGCTGATGAATATGGACTTGATTGCAAAGGCTGCTCAGGCTGTTGCAATACTTTCCATGTACAGAAAGCAACAGATTTAGGATTTCTCTCCTTCAACAGATAGTAGTAGTCAGTCAACTTGCTGTAGGAATCATCATGTCCACCTTGTATCATCCCCCTGGCAATCCCTTTCATCTTGTACACAGTGGATACAACCATTTTAATTCCATATCTCTCTCATAACAGCTCATTCAGTGCTTTTCCTTTGATGTTAGGGCTAGCTCTAATCTCTTCCAAAAGCTTCTTAGCTGCTCACTCACAATTAGCCATAGGATTGTTGATAAGATTCATGTCACTCACATGCTTGTTCTTGATACTCTTAATAGCCTAGGTGTATCCATCAGGTAGAATGCTTTCATGAATTCTCCAACTACACCTAATGTCAGCACACTTAGTAGTGTACTTATCACACTCTACCCTCCTCGCCACTAAGGCAAAACCTTCCTGGATGCAGTAATCTTTAAGGGCATCCTTAAAATGCTCCATGTCAACAAATAACTATCATGCCCTAAGACTTATCTTTCCTAGCTCGGCATCATCATCATACACTTCACCATTTCTGTATACCTTCCCCAAATAACCCTCATCCTCAAATTCCCTCTCATGTGATTGAAATGGTACCCAATTCCCATCAACAAAGTTTTGGTTTACCAAATCCCTCAGATTCTCCTCAACTTCATCCCAATCATCCCCACTCTCACTTTCATCATCCTCTTCAGTATCCTAGGGTTGGTAATCCTTCAGAATCAGAACTAGCCTCACTATATCTTCCCTCATAGCACACATTAGGATCCCTAGTCCTGCATCTACCCCTTGCATTGTCAACTATAGGTATGACCTGTGATTCCTGGGTTGGTAATATCTTAATGCCCTATGAGCCATTTTTTTTACCATGAGGGAAGATTAAAACTTTTAGATATGACTCTTTACTTCTTAGGAGAAATTGAAGGGTTTATTTCAGCAGTTGGAAGTAATGTTTGACTTTGATTCAGAAGTAGCCTTGGGCTCCTCCTATTTTGAGTTGGAGAAGAAAATTGGGATTGAGATGAAGCTGCAAGTGATACATGGGGAGGAGATAGGGATATTTCTTCCAATAACCTAGGTAATCTCCTCCCACCACTGTTGACATGGATGGACTGGTTTTGTGGAGGGGAGTTATGAACAGGAGAATGGTATGGAGGGGAATTAAGTGGAGTTGCAGTTTCTAGAGGTGTAAGTCTTGGGCTCTTTCTCTTTATTGGAAGATTTAGTCTTGGGCTCTTTCTGGAGGTGGCTTGGTTGAAATAATAGAAGGACCACCTTTTTTTAAAGAAATTGTACCAACTGATGGGCCAGCTGGTAAAGAGGATGAGTGAGATGGGCCATGAGGTTCAATATGTGTTGCAGGAGGTGGCTGAGGTAGGCCTGCAGAAATTTGGGCCGGGCCTGTAGGTTAGGCTGAACTTGTTGGGGTTTAACAATCCTAGCCAAAGTCAATATAAATGAAGGCTAACTCAAACAACCAACCCACACATCAATCTCTTTACTCTCAATGTTTTCAAACATTTTCATCATTAAACCATCATCAACCAACTTAATTGCTTTCTCTTTAAAACAGTAGTGCAACCCAGGGTATTCAGGCAACTCAAACCCTCTCCTACCAAATTCCTCACACATGTCATTTATCACATCAATTAACAAACACTTATCAACATCATCAATTGTTAAATCAACACAATTTTCACGATAATGAATTTTCAATATTCTCTCCTCTTCCATCTGCAAATTTTTATCCTAAATCGATCAAACAACAACGAAACACACATCAACTACATTATACATCACATAAAACCAAATAAATTACATAAATTTTAACCAAACTCAAACTCAATTATGCCAAAAACCTATAATATGAACTAACCACACCTAGAATACGAACTCCGCAAAATATTACATAATTAAGCTAATTTATACCACAATTATGCCAAAAACTAGTAAATTATCACAAAAAGTAAACAACTTTATGAACTTTACGCAATCAACAACACAACCCAAACATTTAACAACAACATACTACCATAACTCGCAGCAAAAAAAAAAAAAAAAAAAACTACAGAGAAAACACATACCTTGCACGATGACAAATTTCGCACTAGAAAACCTTAGCTTCCTCGCTTCAAATCGTACCAAAAACAGGTTGATAATTTGCCCTTTTGTTTTCGCAATTTAGGGTTTCAGATAAATTTTTTCGAGGAGAAATGAAACAGGGAGCGAGTTTGGGAGGGAATTAATTTTGAAGACAGAGAAAAGAGCAGTAGAAAGGTAGAGTTAGGTGACGTCTTAAATGCCCACCTAACGTCCGTCATAAATGCATGCTGATGTGGGTTACCGTACAGTTACTAACTGTACCTTCGGGTTATAGTGTAGACGTTTGAAAAATTAAGGGCACGACATACAATTACAAAAAGTAGCGGGTTATATTGCTTTTTTTTTTTTTTTTTTTGAAAACTAGTGGTGAAAT